AGGTGTCTGATATACCCATGTGATTGATAATGTCAAAAAGAACACAATGAAAATATGATAACACTGATCTGAGCCCAAAAACCCTTTGTTTTTCCCTTTTGTTTTTGTTTATCCCACCTACCCTAAGCCCCGTTACAACCCAAAGACCTCAAAAAGTGTGTGGAATGTGTATGTCAAATGATTTTAGCGTTTATTCAAAATTAAGAGTTTATATTGCTTACTTTGAATTGTGCGTGAAAACACTTTAAACCTTAGAGACTTAGTGAGAGTGTGATATAAGCAGACAAGTGAAGTAGTACTTTGATGTGGAAGTATGGTGGAACACTTGATTCAGGGAAGTAGAGAACTCTGGAAGGAAAGCAAAAGCAAGTTGCGAAAGATCTCTGAGGTATTTTGCTAAGTTGATATTTTGGGGGTGTCCGATTATATTGGTCGTGAATATTGCTTGAGGACAAGCAACAAGCTAAGTTTGGGGTAGTGATCGGTCACCATTTTCACTATGTTTTTGCCACTTGTCTGACAATAATCCAGGTATTCCGCATCACTTTGTGTCATTTTTTGTTACCATTTGAGTCATTTTGATGTTTATTTAGTTTCTTTAGTATTTTATGATTTCTAGTTTATTTATAGTATTTGTGTGTGTTATGATTTGGTTGGTTGTTGTGACGATTCCAGGTTTAGGTGAAGAATCTAAGGTACTCGGTGCAATAAAGTCAAGAAATCATAATTTTTGTGAAAGAAAAATTGAACTATCAGGAGGCCTTACATTACCACCCGTGTCACCTAACACGAGATGTGTCGGGTGGGAAGAATTGGAAGAAGAAGGAGTTCAGGGGGATGACACGGCCACCCGTGTTAGCCAATTAAAAAAAAGCAAGTTTCATGCACCTACAAGAGAGCCAACACGACCATCTGTGTCAGCTGACACGAGTCGTGTTGGCTGATGCACTGATTTTACATGTTTTTGTGATTTTTCCACCAAGTTTGACCTGGAAGGGCATTTTTGACATTTCAGACCTGAACCAAGGGTTTTACACTATTTGAGACAGTTTCCACGACAAATAAAGGGACCTTTTTTTGGACAGGAAGAATTTAGATGATTTAAGATTAAAGTTTATACAATTGTTGGAGACGAAGACTTTCATGAGCGGAAGCAATTGAAATCAAAGTTCGCCATCGATTTGTAATGTCTATCTTTATTGTATTTGAAATTCTTGTGAACAGTATGAGTAGCTAAACCCCTCAATGCTAGGGGGTGTCCCTGTTTTGATCATGTTATGACTTTGAATTTCTAATTCTGTCAATTTTATGGTTTTTATTATTCAATTCAATTGTACAAGGTTTTTCATGCTTTCTTTTTCGGACAAATAAGGATTATTCTACGGTTAAAAATTAACTATACATCAATTGTTAAGGTTTTTTGTACGATTAAACTATAGTAGATATCACCTAAGACTAGGGATACCCTATAGTTACCAGGGGAATCTTGATAAAATAAAGGCTTGGTTTCATTATAATTCTCTAAGGACCTAAATATTAGGATGAATGACCAAAGGTTTTCCCACTAAGGACTTAGAGGAAAACAACCTAAGATCTGATAATTGAATGTTATGAACTTGTTGAAGAAATCAGAATTCAAGGTTAATACAGGACAAATCACACATTTTACCCTAGCATACTCCTCATATTTGTGAAAAAGCCAAATTTTACATTCTTCTTATTTTAATTATAGTTAGTGATAATCTCCAAATTAAAACCAAATTTAAGTTTTTGTTTAGTTGAGCCACACATTAAACTCGATACTTATATGTAGTCCTCAAGATCGATATTCGGAGAATTTCCCTATTATTACTACAGAGGCAAAATAGTACACTTGTTATTTTTCCTATCAATAATAAACTAATCATATTAAAAACTATATAGTTTATTAACGGATAAAGATATCCACAGGTAAGAGTATCATTAAACTCGTAATCATATCCATTATAAAACGGGTATTTAAATATCCTTTTATTTTTTATTCACAAATATCTATTAAGCTACACACATCATACCCATGATATATTTTGTCTGCGGATACAATTCTTTTTCCATCCACGGTTATAAGAAGATACACATGCATGTATGAACCTGATCGAGAGAAAACAACCTCCATGACTAAGTGAGTTGGTTATAAATACAATATGATGCCTTTAGACCTCAAGAATGCCAAGAGAAACATACAAAAAGATGATGAAGAAAGTATTCAAGAAAGAGATATGTGAAAAACTAGAAGTGTATATGGATGACATGATTGTAAAATCCAGTGATCAAAAGCTACATGATGAGCACCTTACTATTTTATTCAAAAGAGTATGGAAATACAACATGAGACTCAATCTAGAAAAATGAAATTTTGGAGTCAGAGCTGAAAATTTTCATATCTTTTACCTAAATTAAATGGCATAGAAGAGAACCCGTATAAACGCAATGCATTTATCAGGATGGTAGCACCGACAATGAAGAAAAAAGTGATGAAGTTAAATGGAATGTTGATGTTCTTAAACATGTTCATCTCAAAATCAACTTAGCTCACTCTGCCACTCTATAAGTTGTTCAAGAAGGAAGCACACTTTGAATGGACCTCGGAGTGCAAGAATCCATTCACATCCTTGAAGATGGTCCTGTTAACCCCGCCAGTCTTATCCCGACCCATTATCGAGGGATTTTTATTCCTTTATTTGGCCATCTCTACTTAAGCCGTTTGTGTCGTCCTTATAAGAGATGAGGCTTCTATTCAGAGTCAGGTGTACGTTTTCTCTAAAGTCTTAGTCGAACCTAAAACCCATTATCAAAAGATATAAAAGATAGAACTAACCCTCGTTCCACCGGTCTAATCTGGACGGTTGATGAAACAACCTGCTGAAAAAATCATTTAGATGAAATTAATGAAGTCACCGTCGAACATTTTTTATCCCTCGGGAAGGGGAAGTTAAACATCGACTAAACCTGAGAAGTGTGAAATCAGAGTCATATGACCAAGAGATACGGGTAAGGTAGTCAATTGCGCAAAGGGAAGGTATTAGCATCCCTCACGTCTGTAGTACTCAACATGATCTACTCTTGTTTTTCTAATCAAAGAGTGTGTTCAAATCTAATGCTTACGAGCTAAAAGGAAAAATGTAAAGAGGGAATGCATGCAAAAGAAAACCACGGGGAAAGAAGGAAATATTTACGAAGTTTCGCTTGGCTGAGCCCCGCAACCAAATTCCTATGTATCCTTTTTAAAGAATCTGAGCATCGTAGTTTGGCTCACATGTTTCAGTTTGTTTTGTGTTTTTTAATTAAACATTGTTAAGTTTCGCATTCTACCTGCAGCCCGACCTTTGGAGACTCACGCATCTGGAGTAGAAAAGAACTAACATGCTCTTTTGAAAGTTTGAAAGAAAAGGCCCAAAGGCGAAAATGAATTTGCATTGGTTGATGTTTTGTACCTTGAAAAAGGATTTGAAAGTTGTTAGATATTTTATGCATTTTCCAAAATAAAAAAGTTTTAGTTTTAAGGATGCAAAAGAAAATAAAGCATCTAAGGGAAACTATCCTAAATCTAATCTCTAATGTTATCATACAATGATGGCCCTATGGTTAAGATTAACAAAAAGGGAAATATCTACCTAATATTAGCATGCATAGTTTGAAAACCTAATGTCTATCCCGATTCTATCCTCTAGCTAAGAATGAACCAAAATGTCCTAAGGGAAAATGGTATATACAAGGATAAAAAGAAAACAAACAATCAACAAGCTCAAAAGAGCACACACATGGCATGGGTAGTGCATACTAACTCAAGTCAAAAGACCTAACTAAGATATCGATAATCGAGGTAGGTAAAGGGGGAAGTTCTTTACCATTGATATTATATCATCTAGTCAAGAAGGCATCATGAAAGCTACTCTTAACCAAGGTATCATATCACTGAGGCAAGAAGTAAAGAGATGTGGGAAGTGAATGTCCAAAGCGACTAAGAACCTAACCAGGATATCAAGAATAGGGATAGGAGATAGAAGACAATATGAAAAAGCATGGAGCATCAATTTTGCCTTACGCGACCTCAAGTCAAAGTGTGGGGGTTTGGTTATATAACCCTTTTCCATCTGACCGACTCGATAACATGAGCAACATAATTTATAGCATCAACGCACAGCGCGTGCTACGAACGACACGAATAAGAAATGGTGGGGTCGATTGCAGACCCTCTGTTGCCTATGCCTCCCTTTGATAACTTATCAATGGGGAATGGGAATGAGGCGCCTTTATCGAGGTCTTTGGCACAAACATAAACACACGGAATGGTAAGAAAAACAAGCACAAATAGAATTGCCCTAAACAAGTCTTTTAAAAACCAGATTTTCCTCAAAGGGACTCCCAAAACATGCATCTCTATCCTAATTCTCATAGCATCGAGAAGCGGTAAAGCATGCATCTCTATTCCTACTTCTCATGGCATCAGAAAAGAAAATACAATGGGAAAATTAAACAAAGCAGTGGAGTAATACCAAACAAACGATAGTTCAAATCAAGCAAGCAAAAGCAAAAATACTCTGGAAAACTTCGGGCAAACTAGCATAAAAAGCACAATAGTTAGAATAACATCGATCAATAAAACACAATGGGAATACATGTCATACACATCTGCAACAAATAGAACACCTGTACACAAATTCACATCCAGACAAAAACGGAAGCAGTGCATATTTCTCATGAAATGAGAATCAAGGTAAATCGCGTCAGATGCAAATCCATAAATCAAATGCTTTTCAACAAAATTACCAACACTTTAGCTACATGATTGAAAGCTCTCACAGCGTACCTTGCACAAGTCAACAAACACATTAGTGATTACAAGAAACTACAATCAGAGTTATGCATTCTCAATACTATTCAATTTATGATTAAATCATGAAGGACTAGGAATTAAATGCATATTGGAAGCTAAAAAAAACTCCGGGCAACATTGCATTTCAAAAAATGAGTGTACAAAAAGTCGGAACGAATCGCACGAAAATGACACCGTAGCCTCCAAACATACCAAGAATCTCACAAAAGTGTACACCATGAACTAAATTGCATTGCAAGGGAAACTTACCATTAGAGGGCAAAAATATATTTACACATGAACCGTTCGAAAAACCACATTGGAAACGGTAAAATCCCACCATAATGATCCATAAACACAAAAGGAAGCATGAATATGCATTAAGCAACTTTAGAAAAGCTATTTGCAAGGTATTTATAGTTCCCGGGCAGTAACTTGTACATGTACCAGTATCGAATAGAAATGAGTTTAAAAACTCATAAACGGACGCAAAAGCGTGTACCGGTTCATGTATCGTCTCTTAGAAACTATAAGCACTTTAGAAACAAATTAAATCCGCATAATTCCAGTCAAAAGCACACAATTCAAGTGTTATTGCAATTTATCGGATTTGAAATTTAAGTGTTGAAGAATTGAATTTATCAACAAATTGATTTCCAAAGTTCCATTGACTCATGAATTTACAACTTATATCTCATCAAAACCTCAACATGTGGAATCAACCTTAATTCCAAAATTCAAGAATCAAGAAAACTTTACATGTCGATGTCAAGATAACAATTTGAAGTTTGATTCCAAAAAGTGTCAAGATCAAAGAAAAATGCACCAAATAAATGATTAGGAACCAAATTTTGACATGTCAATTTCCAAAATTATGAATAAAAATTCGACATCGACATGCAAGTTTCACATAATCAACCAACAAATAATCGAATTCAATAGTTCATCACATCATTAAGGTGATGATTCAACCAACTACACATTTCAACATAATTGATATCAAAATTCAAGAATAATATCAATTCATAAATTACGAAATTCAATTAGTGCTTCAATTTAAATCTTTAATTCATACCTTTAATTCAAGTCTTCAATTAAATTCCAAATTCATTCAACATAATTGAGAATCAAGAGAAATTGAATTACCGAAATAGAAACGACGAGGAGGTTGACTCGATTGGAGGTGTTGTCAGAAATTAACCCGTAAAACAGAGGGAGGCTTGGCTCGGATTAAATCGCGGTGGCTGAGGGAGACAAGCCACGGATCTGCGACGGAAGCGACAGTGGAGAGGCCAGATTGTTTCAGAAGCGGTAGGGAGGTGGAGGTGGTGGCTTCGGTCACTGGCGGTGGGTGCGGATCAGTGATCGGTATCACAAATGAGAGAGGGAAGGAGATCTTGAATTTGAGTTTTTGACTATGAACTTTGAAGATTGTTGATGTTCTTGAGAAAAAGTTGAAGAAAAGTGAATTTGATTCTTGAGAGATTAGAGAGAAGTTTGTGAGAAGTTTATGACAAATTTAGAAAATTAATTGTGTGTCTTTGATTTGTGAATAGAAAATCAATATATAGTTTCACCAATTGGGCCTTGGATATGGATTTGGATTGGGCCTTGTTTTGACAGTGTCAGCAGAATATATGCATAACTCAAGGTAAAATACAAAGTCATTATTCGGTTAGAAATCTCAAATCGAGCCCTAAAGAAAAATCGAATATGATGAAATTTGTGACGCAATGCTGAAAGAACAGATTTGATACGATAAATATTGAGTGAGTTATCAATTTTCGAATCGGCTATAACGCTGTCTCTTTCAGTTAAACAACATATTTCATTGTTCCATTTGCGAAACGGACCATAAACGAACTTGGGGTCTGAAGAAAAGTTGTAGTAGAAAAAATTTATGATCCAATGCTTCAAGAACCAGCCCTATACAATAAAAATCTAGAGAGTTATAATTTTCTCAACATTGAGAAAATAAATGTCTGTCAATCTTTTTTCACTGTAAAAATCTCTGGTAATTCGCGTTTTCGGAAATCTTCTGCACATAGTCATCTCTCGGTCCGAACATACGAATTAAAGATAAAATCAAGACGGATTTTTCTCCCGACGAACGACTCAAAAACATTGATCAAGGTGAAAGTTATGAATTTTCGAACGTCTGAAATATAATGAATCAGCACAGTATTTTAACTATTTTTCACCGTTTAGCTTTAAAGTACTCGCGCATTCAGAGATCTTCCTTAAAGAATTGTCTTTCGAGACGAACATCAAAGTTGGAGGAAATAAAAAAGACGATTAAAATGCTCTAAGAGGCACTCAAAGATGATTTCCCATTATATAGCGCAATTCAAGTATTTTGCATTTTAGAAAATCTTCCTCACAAAATTAGCCTTTGACATTAACAGATGAAATGAAGAAGACATCGAGACTATTCTAATAACTGAAGAATCAATCCCAAACCATTTTTTGATCTCAAGTTATGAATTTTGGAGCTTAAAATGCATCGTACTGGATTTCTCTCTGCACTGTCTCAAATCAAACGAAATGCTTGGCTTTCTACACAATTCAGGGTGTGTTGAAACACATAAGAGCTTTATATGATGACTTTCTTGGTTGTTGGTTGGATAGCTTGGAAACCATGCGGATCGCATTAAAATGCAAAAAATAATGAGTTCTGCTTCACAGTGCTGCTTAACGGAACTGTCAATTTCGCAACTCTTTCTTGTAGAGAAATGCCTTGATTCCATGAGTATTTGACCTAATGGCATATATGTATGCATATGACGATGAAGTATAAGCCAATTATTGTAAAAAAAATGAAGAGGGCGAGTTTTGGGGTACAATAACTGCCCTTATTCAATCTTCTTTAACCATAGGGTGAGATTGGCTTCGAACAATTAAGGTGATAGAGGATTGAATACTTAATAGAACCGTAAAATTTGCACTTTGAAGCCAGTTCAGTATTATTTATTTTTTGGTTTTTTGTATTCTATATTTTTTTCTTTTTGGTGAATAGTGGTTATCAGAGGTAAATGTATGTCAGGTCAAGGTTATACACACAAAAGAAATTGTCTATCAAGAAACATGTGTTCGGAGTTGGTAGCGAACACAAACGACAGAGACTAACTGGAGGAAGCCCTATCGAAGATATCAGCGATACATGTCTTGAGGAAAGGACATATACGAAAGATATCGAATGAACATGCCCGGAGTTGGTAGCGACACAAGAAAGATACTGGATGAAAGGATTGTTACTAAGGTATCACAAACATATGTTTGAAGTTGGTAGCGAACATATGACAAGAAAGAGACCATAGGAAAGGACTCTTACTAAGGTATCACAAACATATGTTCAAAGTTGTTAGCGAACATATGACAAGAAAGAGACTTGGGGAAATAAATCTTAATAAGGTATCAATTACATATGTTCAGAGTTGGTAGCAAACATATGACAAGAAAGAGACCAGAGGAAAGGACTCTTACTAAGGTATCATAAACATATGTTCGGAGTTGGTAGTGAACATATGACATGAAAGAGACTGGAGGAAAGGACTCTATTGGAGATACCAAATATACATGTCCAGAGTTTGTAGCAGACACATACAATAGAGACAGACCGAAGAAATCTCTAACAAGGATATCAAAATGTCTGGAGTTGGTAGCAGAAACATTAAGAAAGAGACTGGAAGAAAGGACTCTTTACAAAGATATTACAAATATATGTTTGGAGTCGGTAGCGAACATATACAAAAGTATCACGAATATATGTTCGAAGTTGGTAGCAAACATACGACAAGAAAGAGACCGGAGGAAAGGGATATTTCATAGGATACCACAAATGTTTGTCCAAGGTTGGTAGAAAATATACGACATAGACTAACCAAAGAAAGCCCTATCAATGACATCAATAATACATGTTCGGGTCAGTATCAGACACATATGAAGACATCAGAAATATATGTATGGAGTTGGTAGCAGACATACAACAGAAAAAAGGCCCGAGGAAAGGACTTTAACCAAAGATATCAGGAATACACGTCTGGGGTTTGTAGCAGACATATAAGAAAGAGACCGGAGGAGGAATATTTAAGAGGAAAGGATACCAGAATTATATGTTCGGAGTTGGTAGCAAACACATATAAGAAAGAGACTAGAAGAAAGGACTCTATCGAGGATATCAAATATTCATGTCCGGAATTAGTAGCGAACATGAGAAAGATATTGGGCACATGCCATGTAGAATTGGACATATACAAACAAGGAAAAGACCGACCAAAAGAAGGCTCCAATAAGGAATGCTAACCATAGATAGACTCCTGGAGAAAGGACACCGATCGAAGGCAAACTTACTGGGAATAAAGTATACATGTCTGGTCAGAATTAGACACATATAGGAAAGAGACCGATCGAAGAAGGCTCTAACAAAGGACGCTTAAACACATGAGAACTTGTGAAGACAAGGAGACTAGTCGAAGGTATATTCTTAAGGAAAGAATGCTGATCATAAATGAACTTACTGGGGATTCACGTTTCTATTGAACCCAAACATAACGTCGGTCGAAGGAGAACTTGCAAATGGAAAAGAGACCAAATGTAAGGACTCTAGACAAGGATTTACAAAACACGTTAGACTTTAAGAGGTTGCAAATGCATAAGAACTACAATATCCCTCAGACCAAAGGTGGGGTGTAATTCTTCAAGAGTGGCAATCATCTGAATTACCACGCACCAAGTATGGATACTCAAATACTTGAGAAATAAGAAAGGTTATACACTAAATCTTACTCACACTCTAACGATAAAGAAGACGCGGGTAAAATAACCAAGGACTTACAGGGGCAATAAAAGTCTACGACTCACTAGGGAAAGGGGAATACCAAAGACCCGACTGGTGGTAAACAAAAATAGACTTCGCTGGGGAAACAAGATAGAATCACCCTAGTGGCTTTCAGCAGAGGTAATTCAAATCTTAGCAAATAACAATCTGGTTACTTCAGGTAAACATAATTGGATTACAACTTTGCATGTTTGAACTTTTTTCTTTTAATAGATGCATGTTTAGCAATGCATTGGGGAAAACACGACAATAATCGACTGCTGAGAAGACAATGAACTTCTGAATAATTAACTTTTCACATTTGATCTTCTGTAGATAAAAAAATCAATCTAAACTTCAATGGAGATTCGAGATTCAGAACCATCAACTTCTAAAGATCAGTATCATTGGGGATTGAACTCTTGGGAGGAATACTGAGAAAATAAATTGCAGTCTAGAGAAAAACATGAACTCTGGTCAAACTTTTGACTTCCTAAGGAACAAATTCCTTGTCTCCTGTCTAAATA